CTGCCTTGGCGGAGGTCTGTGCTCTCCGAGTGCTCTATTATTATTATTATTATGCGTGTGCGTGTGTCAGTTCTATATAGACGTTATGCTATCTGTTTTATTGTAATATTAATAACATTATTACCCAAACCCTCTCCCCACACACACACACACACACACGCACGCACGCACGCACGCACGCACGCACGCACGCACGCACACACACACACACACACACACAGACGCGCGCGCGCTCACACACCCACACACACAAACCTACTTATTTTTAGCGCGATTAAAATAGGTAGGTTTTGGCGGTAATTGCCTTCCATACGTCGGTAGGCGTGTTAAACCTTCCCTCGTGTCCGGTTTGCGCAATATCTTACCCCCCACCATATCTCGTAATAATCTGACTTATATCGTAAGATGGTCACTGCCTCAGCATTGCTATACTGTTCTCCGTGAATATTAAAATTACGTATGATGAGTGAGATTCGGGTGGACGTTTTCTGAATGCTAAACGCGTAGTAAAATATTCTAACGTATAATTAGAAACTGCAAATGGCAGCCGTTGCGCACACATCTGAACGGCTAACCTATCGAAATAGTCATTTCTGATTGACTGATTCCACGCCTAAGCCTTGCGCAGATTCGACTTACGTAATATTACTTTCATTATAATTAATACGCAATTACGAAAGGTATTTACTTGCGTCCGGTGGACGTCATGCCGGTTTAGCCTACATTCTCGCCCGTCCTCCTTGTCCGTGTTGCAATGAATGCTCGCAAGTTGGTGGTGTTTATTTGTGCACATGTATCGCGTACCGTCAAGAGAAAAGTCGCTTATATTATTGAGCACTTTTCCTAATCACCATCGTTATCTCGAAAGTAAGAAATCATTATGCGAAATGAATCCCATGTAATTACTTCCGTTTGTTTATAAGGCGGAGTGCAGCGTGGCAAGGGGAGGGCTATTTCACATCAATTGCTCTTCCACCCACCGATGATGTTATTGCGTAGTTTACTTAGTTGTATGCTTTACTTAACATGATTTGTCGTAGCAGTATGTTGTGTCTTCGGGCCTGTATAATATTTAATTCAGGGTTGTAAAGACAAATTGTGACACACGCAAGGTTGGCGCACATTCCATTAGAAATGCACCGTTTGGAATATGTGTTTCTCGTGTTTTATCCAGTACAGTGAAAGAATCTTTAACGCAGTACATGCGTAATAACCAGTACGGAGTACATGAGTAATATAAACGGTTACGAAGGACAGCATACCAGTATATATATACAGTAGTACAATACAACTACACGTAGCATAAATATACATTATTGTGGAAGAGTTTTTTGCGTAGACTGGTGTGAAATTCCCAACGAATTTTGAAATTAAATAACGCGTTTCTTTCCCGTTATCAAAGAAATACTCCAAAATCACTTTGGTTAAAAATTATTTAACAGTACATGCTCTCGGGCCAACCGTGGAAATGCTGCGGCCCGTTTCTCCAACATGTCAACACTGATGATCGTGTCTGATCTCGCGCGCTCTGCGCATGAATTCACGTGCAGAAAGTTACTACATACTGCACTTATGATAGTGTAGCAACGGCAGCAAGGCTGAACGCATTCACGTGCTGGTTGTGATGGCGATTAACAACGCGCCCACAGGCACTTGCAGCGTTTCAATAAAATATAATGCTAAATAAATACGAAATCTATTTACTACAAAAGTCTTAATGTTTCTATACTCTCTTTCACCTAGCTATTATTGCCGACAATTTCCTGTAAATGCCGTCCAAATGTTCATCTGCAACACACGCTGTCTGCCGCACGCTAGCTGCTGCACACTACATTCACGCATCTACTCACACAACATGCACGCAAGCACGCACCGGCACGCACGCTATGTACACATGCACCACGCACGCGACGTAACATGCACGCACGCAACGCTACGTACGCAGCCACGGGGACACA